GTATGAGGTAAGGACTTGTTCCATGACTGCTGCTAAGAGGCCAGCATCACATTTTCCCCCCATAAAGCAACAACAGTATTTTCACTGTAAGTCTGCATTTGCTGTAATTGCTCACTTAAACTAATTATTTCACAACTGTAAATGATATATCAAACAACACCCTCCAAATTAAATATTCTAATGCATTCTGAATGGCTACAATTAATCTATTTTTGTTTTCATGAGAAATGACATCTGCAGCAACTCAGAATTTGGAAGTGTTAAAGGCTCGCGTGCACAGACACGGACATGCACGCACACAGTTTTATTTTTCCAGTGTTTTCTTTCCTTGCAAAAATCAAAGTATCAAGGGTCTCAGTAAAAAAAATACTGCTTTTGCAGTAAAAATGCAATATACTGCTGCAACAACTCTCTCATCAATCAAACTTTATCCATTAAAGTACAAGAGTGTAAAGCAACTTTGCCACAGCAATGATCAAACTTAATAACATATGAGTGCAAACCGTGCACCTGCTCAGGAGAAAGTAAACAAGTCTTTTTTTACCTGTCCATCCGCATCCTGGTGCGCAAAACGTAACGAATAGCGCCAAGAGGGTCCTGCTTGCGGCTAAAGCCATAGTGAGTGTGGCGCGCTACTGCTGCGGAGCGACGCACCAGCTGGATGGATTCAGAGGGTTGGGACACACCAGCCCTCCCCTCCCCTCTTTCGATGGGTCTGCTGCTTTTCACCCTGAACTTGCGGCTTCTTTATGTCGGCAAAAAACTTTCAAAAACCAAAAGCCCAATAAATCAGATCCATAAACCTCTCCAGTCGATTTTAAGATCAGAAATAATTGATTACACACAGTGGGCTTCTTTTTAGAAAAAGAAAATAATTTGAAATTTAAAAAACTGAAGCAGAGTGCAGTATGTATATATAACTATATAAAACTTATACTATAAACATATAACAATAAAATGTTCTCATCTTTTGAATTTATTAAAATGTCATTTAGCATCCCTTACACTATCATACTGTGTGCTCCTCAGCTATTTAAACGTGTCTACATTGTGCTGCAGGGTGTCTTTGATTTTAGAATAATAAAAAAAAAAATGACAAAATGTCTCCCTCTTCAGGAAACGGCATTGATTTCATCAAAACTGAACGTTTAGTAGCAGGTGGAGGGAGACTGATTAATAGAACCTGAGATTTTGAACATGGACACATACTCCTCCTGTCCATTTACTGTTTCAGAGACAATTTTTATAATTCACTTTTCCTTTTTTTCTTTTGAAAACCACAAGAATGTTATTGTATTGTGGCTATAGCTGCTTTTCTGGAAATCTTTATGTAAACAATTCAGTTCTACCTGTTCTGCCGTGTTCCACTTTTTCTTCTTTCAGATCCACTTTAGGTTGATTAAACATTTCCATGACACCATCACTTCACCAGGTGAGAGAACAGGGCTTTGGGCCAAGGCTCTAACAAATGATCTATTTTCTGGAGGCAGAGTGCACGATTGCAACAATTTCCCAAAGAAATATTTTAACCACTAGATGGAGTAACAAGCCATGTTTTTATATACAGTATAGTGTCGTATACCTGTGTGCAAGAAAGGTAACTGCAATAGTTCAACCTAACGTTCTCTCAGTGGGTAGTTAAATGTTGTAGTTAAGATGACTAATATATGCCTAAAATAGTCAGTTTCTCTATTATTTGTTTGTTAGTGCTCCATTGAGGCTCAGAACAACTGCAAAGTGCACACATTGTGCAGATAATGAATATGAGCTCCTGCTAATGATAAACATTTGTGACGGGATATCTATTATAATACTGTAAAATTTTAAAGTTAGAAACATTGTTATTTCCTCCTTATTATAGTTAAGGTTCCCATGGTAACAATCACACTAGAGCCAGAGGATTTGCCTCACTGTGCACCTTGGCAGCATTTTTTGCACATGAGAGAGCAAATGTCCCACAAGACCAGCAGCAATCAGACAGATGGACAATTACTGAATGCATTTATTGTCTCCATAGCTCAGAGGTTAATTTATAATTAATATTCTCATTTATTTGGAAATTATTGAACTTTGACTCAGATCTAAATGAGATAAAATGCTATGCAACTGGCCTTCCATAATTAATTATCCATTTATCTGTATGGCTCATCAAGCAACATCAAGTGACAAAAGACAGCTTTATTCACTTGTGTGTAGGGTTAGTTTTTACTCCAGACCAACATCTCCCTCTGTTGGCCTGGGCCATTATCTGCACTGGAAAAAAGATTTCAATCATCACTTCTTCATGAATGAATTCATGAATGACTGCAATGTGCCGGAGTCTGAGGAGGAACATATGGAAAATTCTGGGTTAAATATAGTAACTAGGATTTCACCACACGGTAACTGCTCTGTAAAAAAGCAATTTGGTATTTATTACTTTGCTGCAAAATCAATACATGTGTCAGTGGCCATCTTCATGGTCCCCAAGGGCCAATAAAGTAACTGCAGTTTGTCTTTTTATATAGCCTCTGCCCTTAAAACCTGAACTTCATAAACTCATTTCTTGTGCTCATGAGTCTCTAGTAGCTTCTCTCTCTCTCTCTCTCTCACACACACACACACACAAAACTACAACTACTGCAGCAGCTTGAAATAGTGCATGAGTCAGCAGAAAACACAATACATTTTTTATGACCAAAATAATCTTATCGAAGCAGATAGTTGTCGCTTTCACTCGCTCTCTGCAAATCTGCAGAATGTGCACAGACACTGTCACTCATTCTCTCTCACACACACACACA